ACTGAAAGGAACTTGTGTTAGTTTGTTTGAAAACTTAATTTTAATATTTTATTTCTATAATCAAAGCATTCTAAAATGTTCATGCAAATGTATTGTTCTTAGCTGTTTTAGCAAATATTTTGCTTAATACTACATTGCTTAAAACAGAACTGTATATTTCTTTAGAGTCAATTCCTTCTTCTTAAAACCTTCTTGCAGCAATTCTAACTTTGAATCAAAATGAATTGCTTTGACATTAAAAATCCATTTACTGCTTAAAATTTCTTATATTCTGCTTCACTTTTTTTAACATTAAAGTTTTGTTATTAATTAAACACATCTTCCCCTCTTCAGTAACTTCTTTTCTTTTTCTTTTTTTCTTTTTTTTTTTCCTTTTTCCTGCTATCACTTCCTGTATAACAACAGTGCAAAATCTCTATGCTTTGCTGGTAGTTTACCGTTTCTAACAGACTGATCTCCATTTTCATCTTTATATATTTCATTTTAATTGTTATTATCATTTCTAAATCATCAATAACCTACCTTTCATAGTGGAAATGCTTTTAACTGTATTATTTTCTAAAACTGCATTTTGATTTTCATCCCACAAAATTATTTTTATCTTTATTTTTGTCCTCTCTGTTTATTGAATATAAGTTTCATTAAGCACAACATATCTTGATGTTTTTATTTTGATTGTATTTCTGTCAATCTATAGTCATTTATTCCATATTCAGTAAAGATGCACTTTTCACTTGTGAATCAAGCTTTTGAATTAGAATATTTTTTCAAGCATATACAATACTTCCGAAAATTTTCAAGCTTGATAAATTAGGTCTTTGTGTATTTCATTTTTCTGCTGGTGTTGTACAATATGTTTCAGTTGGGCTTTGGTTTAACAAATAAGCTGAAGTTTGAAGAGCTTCTCTTCACATCTTTTATTAGTTTGGAATAATTCAGTAGAGCTGCCTTCCCCAGTAATGTTTGATTTATTCTTTCTGCTTTTCTATTTAATTATTGGGGAGTGGGGGAACAGAAAAATCCAAAATAATTTCTTAGTTTTTCACCAATATTTTAAATGTTTTCTAATAAATTCGTCTCTATTTTCACATCTTAATTTTGATACTTTATCCCATATTAATGGTCCACACTCATCAGTATGATTTATTTCTAAAGGTCCCATAGTTTTCATTCTTTCAAAATTAAATAGCAATTTGTTTATTTAGCTGGCAAAACATCAGAAATCTTCATACCATTAGAAAGCAAAACAAGTTTCTGCTTATTTTTATGACCAAAAAATTTGTCTCATGTGCCATAATATACTAGCTTTTGATATCTACCCTTCAGCTGAAGCACTTTCAATGTTAAATTTCTTGTCAAGAATAATATAATACAAAGGATTTTAAATTCTATATCCTGTTAAAATCCTTTTATTCATTTTTTAAAAAAAAATTTTAATTTTAATTTCTGCACCATTATGATGATTTTTTATATATTTTATAAAACTGTTTATTTTATGACAATTCTTTTCTACAAAAATTAACCAAATGTTCAATTCTGTTACATTTGAAACAACTCTCCTAAGTTTATTTTGTTGTATTATAAAAGCACACAATATGGTCAAATGTTTTTACAATTAAAACTTTTCCCCCTCTATCTTTAGTATACAATTCAGTTGAATTTCACCCACCAGCAGCCAAGCGTAAAGACGCTGAACACTGGTAGTTCGGTCCGAGGTTCAAATCCCGCGAACGGGCTGGATAGGTGTTTTTGTGGTTTTCCTCATGTGTAACATGTATATGAGCCAGTTTCCCTTAAAAATTCCTCCATGAAGGCATCCCTCCCTTTAGGCAGATAGCCCTCGTGTGCTTTGCCATAATTTAATAATCCAATCTAATCCAAATCAGTTGAATTTCTTCTGATATAGTCTGCTTCTGTTCTAGTTTCTTCTGCTGTTAATCTGCTATTAAATTTTGTCATGAATTGGCATTGATCCAGGCATCTAATAAATATTTATATTTAACTTGTAAAATTGCCAAAATTTTTTAAATTATCATCATTTTATTAATTCGTTCTTTCAAAGAATGGTCAAAGAATCTATATGCAAGGTATTCTAGTGTATTAATATGGGAATATACAGCTATTCCTTCGTCTTATTTTATGTTATTATTCCTTCCTCTTATCTTATTTATTTATGTTATTATGTTATTATTCCTTCCTCTTATCTTTATTATTCCTTCCTCTTATCTTTATCTTATTTATGTTATTATTCCTTCCTCTTATCTTTATCTTATTTATGTTATTATTCCTTCCTCTTATCTTATTTAATGTTAAAAAAATCTTGTACTAAGGTATATTTTGGTTGATCAGAATCTCTTTTACTTATAGCATATAATTTATCAAATATGTCTTTTGAATTAGTATACTTTATCATAGGTCCTTAATCTGTAGAAGAAATTATGTTATATTTTTTAGCTGTGGTTGTCCTCCAACTACCTTAGTCCTTTCTAATGTTTTATATTCATCTATCATTTTACTTAAATTTTCATTTCCTGTTACAATGTTATACAAATCAGATAAATAATAATAATATTTTAAATTTCCTGGAATGAAGTAGCATCTTTTAACATCTCGCTATAACTACTTTGCCCCATTTAACAGTTCCATTCATATTAAATCTTCATAAATATCTTTCTTGTGTAAAATACAGTACAAAGTCCATAATCCGGACGTAAATTATCCAGAATGATCTATAATCCGGACCTCAAAGCCACAAACTTTTTTTTTTGTATGCTTTAGACATGCGCGTTTAATGTATAACGGACGGTATAAGCTAGGCTAAAATTGTCTTTACTGATTCTAAGGCATTTCAGTTAATGTTGCAGATTGCGCTGTTCCTTAATCTTCTAATTGGATCCGGCTTATTATTTTTTGCAGACTGTTAGAGCAATTTTATAAAAATTAAGCTTGAACTTTCAATTATGTCAAAAAGAGTTTCCAATTCTGGAGCTGCCAAAGGATCTACAAAGCGAAAGCATATTTCAATGTCCATAAAACAAAAAGTGGAATTGCTGCAAAAAATGGATAAAGGCATATCCGTCTCAAAATTCTGCGAGGAGTATGACATTGGAAAGTCAACTGTATATGACATAAGCAAAAAGAAAAAGGAACTTTTTGAATTTTTTTGTGGATTCCGACACCCCACTTGCAATGAATAACAGAATAAGAGTTCGTTATGCTAAAAGTGACAATCATGACAAAGTGATGGTTGAATGGGTCAGACAGCTTCGCAGCGAAGGTGTGCTGTTGACAGGTCTAATGCTATTGGCTTAAGCCAAAATATTTCATGAAGAAATGAACTTAAACACTGAGTGCACATATTCGAATTTACTAGCTATGTTTTCTTTTGTTATTTATATTCACAAATAATTGTATAAATAAGATTTGTCTTTCAAAAAACCATCACTGTTCTTCATTCTTAATGATATCAGTGTTCTGTCTTGAAAATTCATTACTGGAGAGGACAACCTCTCATTGCTACCATATGTTGGATATTTTGTAATGCTAAAACATCAAATATTTCTAAAGTAAACATTAAAAAAGAAAACAAAAGAATTTTACTAAAGAACATTAATCAACGTGAGACATCACCAAACTGAAAAATTATTAATTGATGCCAAATCTAGAAACTCTATAGATTTTTTAAAAGTAAATAACATGAATGTTGCCAGATAATGAAAAATTGTGTTTTGTAAACAAATACCATCAATCTATAATTTGCAAAATTTACTAATATTCAGAACCATCCATACCCAGACATATGGATTAAATTAATTGTACTATATACCTAATGCCATAGAGAAATATAGTTATTACCATGTACTGCCGTAAAGATTAATTTTGTGTTGGAAAAGCACAAAAGTGCAGGGCAATGAGATGCCTATAAATATATATTTATAGGCAATAATTTTAAATATAAATATATATTTAAAAGTTTTTAAAAATAAACTTTTTACAGTTCGATATCAAAATAATTTTTGTCATCCACAGAAAGGGAGAAAATGTATTTTTTCTTATCATTGAAATTATATGTTACATGATGCTTTTTAGTCTTGTTAACTTGAACTAAGGTTAATATTTAGCTAACATGGTGCAAATATGTATAATAATTCATTGTATGTATTTTTTTTGGGCATCTCATTTATTGCAATTAAGATTTGTAATATCTGGACCTCTAACCAGCCCAAATAATAATAACAGTAATAACAATAACTGTAATAATTAAAAATAGGGATATAAATGGGATTTCTACCTCCACTTGGATTCCTGCATATGATTTTCAAACAACTGTTGATAGTGTAGCGCTCAATATATTGATTGACATATTGATAAGGATTACATTTCTCAAAAGAGAAGTAGGAAATTTGCATGGCAAAGGGAGATAGAATGAAAAAAACATTTAGTATTCTAGTCTATTTTCAAGTACCAATAGATTTGCAAGACCTTGATCCATTTACAAGTGGATGATGAAAAAATGAATATTGCTTATGAATATAACAAAACTTTCCTTGGATAATTATTATTTTGAAGAACTATTAAGTAAATCTTTTACATACAAAGTAAGTCTTTATTTACATCTAACATTTAGTCTGTTTACTATTTTCTGTCAATTAGAAGATTTGGAAATCCTTTATGTGACTTATTCTAATTTTTTTGTATTCACATCGGAAGGGATGTAGACTGATAATTGTTCTGAAAGCAGTAGTTATCCCAGTATCAAAGTAATTTTTGATTGCTTAATTCTAATAATTCAAATTGCACTGAAGAAAGCAAATTATATTCAAGCATTCATGCTAAAGCAAAGCATTTCATTATATTGTGATCTAAAGAGGCTTAATTGTTGCATATGAAAAATTTACCTCATTTGAAAATACTACCTTTGATAGTGGTTGTAAAATTATATGTTGTTAATTTTTGATCAAAAATTTCTCCAGGTGACCTTCACTTTATTTTTATTTCAGCTTTTAACGTGTGCCTTTGGAGCTCTCCAAGTCCTTTTTATGGATTCAAAAGATTCTGAGGAAAGAGAAGAAGATATTAAGGACCAGGAAGAAGATACAAAAAAACAAAGTGACAATGAAGATAATGAAGATGGAAAAGAGGTAATTTTACTGTGTATTTATAAGACATTGCATCTCTCTCTCCCCCAGCTACCTTTTTAAAAATAAACTTTTTACAGTTCGATATCAAAATAATTTTTGTCATCCACAGAAAGGGAGAAAATGTATTTTTAATTCTTCTCATTGAAATTATATGTTACATGATGCTTTTTAGTCTTGTTAACTTGAACTAAGGTTAATATTTAGCTAACATGGTGCAAATATGTATAATAATTCATTGTATGTATTTTTTTTTTCTTGAAATAAATGAAATATCTGTTATAGTGTTGCTAAACAATTGGCGAGAGAAAATTCACTGTTATGGTTTTGAATTGTATTTATTTCCCTCTTACATAGTTTTTTTTAAATTAAAGTTGATTAAGTAAGGAATTAATATTCATGCAGTGCAATTAAGATATGTAAAATCTGGACCTCTAACCAGCCCAAATAATAATAACAGTAATAACAATAACTGTAATAATTAAAAATAGGGATATAAATGGGATTTCTGCCTCCACTTGGATTCCTGCATATGATTTTCAAACAACTGTTGATAGTGTAGCGCTCAATATATTGATTGACATATTGATAAGGATTACATTTTGAGCCCTTTAGTGGTTGGGAGTGTAAGCACTTTTCTATCTGAACTAAATAATAAATGAAGCCCCAATGTTGTCATGTCTACATGCCATCGTATGAGGGGTGTAAATTACACCAAATTTGGTACTTCTTAATTTTTGAGATAATTTATGATTTTAGTTGGAGTGCACTAAACTCCTAACTGTGTGGGCTTCCACACTTCTTTTATATAACTGAACCACAATTTCAGTTTAAGTCTTTTAAATCTCAAGAATTTTATTTTAATAATGAAGAAGCTTAAAAAATTGATCTAAGTCCTGAATACGTGCCTCTCTTTACCTGAGAAACGAACTCAGATAGAGTTCAAGACTTTTAAAGAAAGAAAAGCCCCCACCCACATTTCAGGGGCTTATTCTTCAGGAAGTGTAGAATTAATCAGAGCAAGTAAATATCCAACACTATTGACTTCCCACGGAAAAGAGCTAGGTACTTTTTGGAACAGTGTAACCAAATACGGGAAACAAAGAGAGTCACTTGTAGAGAACCTTGATTTGTTCTCAGCTAACCTTGAATTTGGGGAAAAGTTTTCTTCTGTCACATTCTGCTTGATAGCTAGAGGATCAGGGTCAGGACAAGTTTCACTCTTCTCTCTTTGTCGTCATAGCTATACACATCCTGTTAAAATTTCCCCCTTCTGTTACTCTTTATAGTATTCTCTTTATTGTTATTAGTGATGCTTTAACCACTTTACCTGTTTTTATTGGTATGCTGAAAAAAGAAGGGTTCTTGTTTCTATCATTCCTTTAAGTAGTATGTTTTACGAGATATTCAGGTCTTAAATTCTGAGCTATTTCTTAGCTAAGGCACAATAGCACGCCGAACAAATACTAATTTAGAAGTCAAACAACAAAAATCAGCGTTATATTTTCAAATTTTCACAGGACTAGTTTCGATAATTTTACCAAACCACCATCGACAGCTGCAAAAGCGCAAATGAAAAATACTTTTAAGAGCTCAAGAGCTAAGAAATTAATGAATTTTTAATTTCAGCCAGATAAGATGAGGTCCAGTATTTTTATTTATTTATTTATTTTATTATTTATTTTTTTTTGTGTGTGTAACTATTTACCATTAATTATATTATTTATTAAATTTTTATTTATCTCTTTGAATTTTATTCATTTTTAATTATTCAGTTAATTGTAATTTACCATTTTATATATTTATTTTTGTTTCTGTTTCAATGGTCTTCCATAGGGCTGCATTTTTTCTAATTTTAAAAATGAAGTCATGATATTACAAAATTTTAACTGGTTTGACAATTCCAAATCTCAAACTTTGTACTATATTTGTAATTTTATGAGATAAAATAATTTTTTCTAAACATATAAATTTTGTGCTTTTATTGTATTCTCTTATTCTTAGGTTGATAATACTTCTGAAGATTCTAGCAATATCCGAAAAAGAAAATAACCATGTAAGAAATGCTTGAAGAATGTATAAAACAGCACTTCTAAGAATTCAATAATTTTTTTATAATAATTTATTTTTAAGTATTTCTTTTTACACTTTTTTAAAGGCATACAAAGGAATTTCTCTGTAGAAATTCCTCCATATGCCTTTAAATAAGTGGGTAGCCTTTTACCCGCTTATTTACCTCTCTTACCTTTAAGTAAGAGAGGTAAATTATAATAACTTAATATCTCTCTTACCTTTAAGTAAGAGAGGTATTTCTCTGTATATACAGAGGTATTTCTCTGCATGATAAATTGTCAATTTTATCATTCAATAAACTCTAAATATTTTTACTTTGCATTATAATTTGGAATTGTTTGCTGAAATTTAAATTAAATAAGCATCCAATTATTCCTTTGCAATATAATTATTGTACTATTTTATTAATTTGAAGACAACTATGATTTATTGTTCTAAGATTTCTTTTTGGAATGCCAAGCAAGAAATCTATGTCATGTTTTGTAATGTCTGTATTAAATTAATAAATGTCACTTATGTGGGGCATCATTTGTAAATGAAACAATAACAAGCTATTTTTTCATAAACTGTTTAGTGTATTATTTACTATTTCAGAATTAGGAAATTTATTCAAATTTTATTAGTTTTATAATAAAAAAGGTGCAATATTTAAGGCATGAATGTTGATCTACTCTGTAAGTGATTGATAAATGTAGGAGTTATTAGAAAAGCCTAATTATAGTGCATATAACTGTGAGAAATAGATGATGAATATCATAATTCCTCATTCTCAAATTTCTGTACCATAGTTTATGAATTTGCACAAAATATTAAAAGAATAAGAAAAGATTTTCCATTTAAAGATTCACTGTAAATAAGAGCAATAAATAGTAATTGTTTTGTAAAATCTAGTGTAATATATTCATGTTATGACTAGGTTGCTACATTTTGTGATGTAGTGAGTCCCTCCTACCGTATGTAACTAATTTCTTCTGCTATTTTAATTGTTTTCATTATTTCTTCAAAAATTTTTTTATCTAAAAAATGCAAAGATATGTATGAGTTTTGTACATATACAGATACATATATGAAGTAAAATTTAAAATATTTTTCTGTCAGATATTTTAGATTTTGATTTCTAAGCAGCAACTATATGTTTATTTTCTGTTTATTTTATTTGTTTTTCATAATCTAGAAATGTATTTTCTCTTACTCTGTCACTCTTTCTCCTTTTACCCTCTCCTCTTTTCAAAACATCCTTTTTTACTGATGAGTACAAAATGATAGTGTAATCTATTGAACAAGTTGAAGAAAAACTTCAACTTGTTAAATAGATTCTGCATAAGGAGCATCCAAAACAAAAATAATTTCTGATAAACTGTCGTGCTGAAATGGGATTTAGTAAATTAAGGGGTTGGAGTTAAGAGATTCAATTTCAATCTAATAAAATCAATTAATATGTATGACTCTGATTTCTGTATCATTAGGCCAGGTTGAATCCCAGAAAGTATGTGTGGCAAGCAGGCACTCAAAATACATGGCGAGCCAAAAGTTCTCTTGAGAGATTAGTGATAGGGGAAGAAGGCTGGGTGACTCTCAGACGGTCTCCTATGGTTCTTTCTCTTAAAATTGGGGTGTAACTGAGCAGAAAACATGCTGTCACCTATATAGTGCTCAGTGCTCATGTACATGTGTAAAAATTGCACTCCTTGCCTTGATAATATTCATGGGTTTGTTCTGAAAATGTCAGACAAATGAGACATGACAACAACAACAGTAATCAATATATAAGGATCAGGGAATGAAAAAATGAAGTGAAATGCATTCTAGGAAATAAGATGGACAGGCACTGATAACAGTTACCAAGGAAGTAACTTTCAATGGTTGTCTGTGGTAAAAACATGAAGTACCGAAATCTATAAAAGGATCATAACAGAGAATATTTCTTCCACATTACAACTTACTACTCCTTTAATGGCTCCATTTCTCAGTTCTCATATGTAAATACTGTTTGGATTGTGCATGTTGTAGGAAAACTGTTTTTTTTTTTTTTTTTTTTTTTTTTTTAATGTAATCAATATTTTTCTCATGGTTTTAACAGCTGTTCAGGAAAAACTGATGTTATTACCTGATCTATAAGTTTCCACAGTAGTTATCAGCATGTTTTTTCGTTGAACAGACCTTTATAATTTATGCATCTTAAGATAAATACTGAACATCAGAAATGGAAAATTTTAAATACTGAACATCAGAAATGGAAAATGCATACCGTAATCATTAATAACCATAAAAAAATCATTAAGTTCACCTCTTAAAAGAACAGAAAAAATTTAGATGAAGATCTTTCATCTCAGGCCAACAGCTTATGAGGTAAAAACTGAACTGAAATCTACAAATTTTTTTAATTATTTTCATTTGTAATAAACTGAAACTTAACTTCTTGAGGTCACACTTATCTCATGCTACATAAAAGCTGTAGAGCAATCTCTAACAAATAGTATGAGCATATTGTCACTCAAGAGAGAGGAACATCATCAGTACACCCAAGAAAGAGGAAAATAGTTTTTAAAAGCAAATTTTGTTCAAAAGAGGAACAGTAGTGAACAACAGTTTAATGACAAAAGAAATCTTGATTATATTACATTATGAGCAGAAGTATTTGTAAATATGAGAAAAATTCAGTGGAATTTTTAGTTATACAAATATTTGTTTTCTTGACCTTTTTAATAACATGCAGTAAACTATGTTTTGATGTCTTAGTTTAATATAATTGTTTCGGTTTGGTTTTTTCTCCATGCTGTATCATATCACTCTATTCTTTTTTTTTGGGGGGGGGAGGGTTAAGTTATTATTTTTAATTTTTTTTCTTCTCAATATATTGTTAATGACAGTTTTTTTTTATTATTATGTATAAAGTTTAATTTTTTTCACTTTATGGTAATGTATTATATTCTGCTATTAAAAAGAATAAGTAAACTTTTTCTCATTCCTTTCACCTTCCCTTCAGTTCATTGTGAAATATGAGCTTGTAAATTATTTTCTGTTTTGTATATACACTTTGTATTCGAATCTGAATTGTTTTATATATTTATCACATTACTTACTGTCTTTTTTTTATATATATATTAAAAAAGGTTTGAAGTTTCATATTACAAATGCAAGTACACACACACACATATATATCTATATATATGTGGTGTGTGTATGTGTATTTGCATTTGTATATATATATTTAAAAAAAGAGACAGGGAGAAAAAGTGATAATTCACTAATTTTTGAGTTCTTCATGGCTGTACTTTCAACTTTCTTCTAAAATTAATATCAGAGTCTTCTTTGAGTCGTTAAATTAGATTTCCTTGAAGCCCTGAACGTTAAGCAAACTCTATCAATTTAAGTAAAGGTTTGTATCTCTACAAAGGGTGTTGACACATTTTTGTAATGATTTTGATTTTTAGTAATTGAGTTTAAATGTTAATTTTAAAATACAAACGTGATTGGCATCAAATTGGAATGAGGTTTAATTATTGTCTGCAGCATTAAAAATATTCTTTTCTCTAAAATGTCACTGAAAAATAAGCAATGAATCGAAGGCTATAATTTTGTATTATCCGAAGAGAAATACTCTTATTCAATTATTAAAAAAGATGTAAAAAAGCATGCTTTTAATATTTCTACATGTAAAATAAGTGACATAATTAATATGAAAAGAAAGAAACGTCAACATTTACATCTGACTGGGGAAAAAAAAAAAAAAAAAAAAAATGCACACCCAACAAAGGTACATACAAGCTCTTATTAAATCTAAAGTAGCATTTCATGTTTTAAAGGAAAATCCAGCCTCCCAAAGAGCTATATTGAAAAATATTTAAATATCTCTCTAGGAACTGTGAACAAAAATTATAAAATCTGATTTAAAGCTAATCAAAACAAAATAACATATGTTGTTGTTTGACTTCTAAATTAATACACATGTTATTCATTGCCATGTGTCAAAACATGTTTCTCAGTGTAAGACTGTGCAGATTGCTGTATAAAAATTATTTGGCAAATGAAAAAGGGAAATACATAGTTTTAATTGATGAGGCATGGGTATATTTTTTATTACAAAAGAAAAAAATTTATTTACTACTGAAAAAGAGGAGAAAAAAAACTTAATGTGTTGCTTCAGAGAAAACAAGGAAAGTTTTTCTTAAGGTTTTATGGTTATTACCGGATTCTTTTATAACAAAAAATTTAAAATAAGGAAAGTAGAAAAAAATATCAAAATTAATTCACATTACTATCACAAATATGTTTTAATACCTATTTTTAGAGAAGAAATTCCGTCTCTTTATTCAAACAATCATCACTGTGTTTATTTCCATTAGGATAAGGCTCCAAGCCATAGCTCTAAATCTGCTGTTCAGTTTTTTGAAAAAATGAGAAATGAAACTGGAATTGAAGCTATTCCCTTTGAATGCATCCCACCCGTCCCTTAATGTGTCTGGTATGGATTACTGTGCATTTGGACTTTTAAAACTAGCTCTTTATAAGCGGCATCCCAAAACATTGGATCAACTCTGCAAGATCGTGAAAGAGTAGTAGAATAAATTCAACCTTGATGTTTTAAGAAAAGGGCTTTTATCTTGGAAATCAAGATGTAATATGATAGTTTAACAAAAGGACTATCAGACTGAACATATTAGGAAGTAAAATCTAAGTTTTTTTTTTTTTTTTTTTTTTTTTTTTTTTTTTTTTTTTAATATATAATCTTTGCAAATCGTTACAGAATGTATGAACATCCTCTGTAGTCCTCTAATTTAATAAACATGTATCCTGTCTAATGAAAAGCATTTACATTCTTTTCCTGTTCTTTTCTTTTTTGCTTATTTTCTTCCATTTATTTCCCATCTGGTATTTAGTTGAAAACAACATTCTGTGTATGATTTATATTTAGGATGAGATTACCAAAGTATTCGTGTAGAAAATTTAATTCCTTTTGAAAAATAGGAGACTGGCCACATCTTTCTAACTGGTTTCAGACTGAAGATAGTGCTTGAATTTTGGAAAAAATATTATTTAAGTTAATATGCAATTGCATTCTTTGCATCTATTTAATTTAACTCTTAATATTTAACATTACATCTAATGTCATTTATTAATTCTTGCCAGTACACCTGAGTTAGATATCTTGCAGTATAATTGAAAATTATCTACATGATTTTAAGGTATGTTATATTTTTGGAATAACAAGTTTATAAGAAAAATAATCTTTTTATTAAATAATTGCATCTTTTCAAGTATGTTTATGGTATTTCTAGCTGTCTATTTAAGAATCAACTTTTAATGAAGATAGGGGGGAAAGCTTTTTAAATATTAATTCAGTGCAGTGAATTTCACTGTTGATTTAAATTAATTATCAAAGTCTGATTATATGAGCGTATAAAGGAATATAATTATATAAAAAAGGAAAAGCTATTAATAGGAGTAGATTGATTATATTCATATATTTCTTCAGGATCACAGCTTCTATAAGCAAATTAAAATTTTTGAAGACTATTTGGAAAGCAGTGTCGCAAATAGTAGAAATCAAAGAGCATATCCCAGAGTTAATATTTTTGCAATCCAAGAATTTACATTTGATCTCATATCCAGTAGTAGTGCTCTGAATTACCATAAGAAATCGTATGTAAACAGAATAAATTTGCAGTATAGATTAAAATAATATTTGATATAAAAAATACCAAACCATTAAATTATAGACGTCGCAAATGCTAAACATCAAGTGACAGAAGTCTTGCTAAATTAATAGGAATTATTTAATTATTCATGTTTAAAATATATATTCTGATCAATTTCACTGATTTTTGCCGTCACTGAGGACCTGTATATATACTGCGCTAACAGGTTCGCGAATTTTCAAAATGTTCTCACATTTTTGTTCAGAGCAGAAATCCTAAATGAAAGATTTAGAAAACTCAGATATCACTTTGTCATCCAAATTTTGAGATTTGGAAACTTTATTTCTCAGTAGTAATTTGCAGGCTGTATAATTATACAGCAGTGTGTAAATTAACAGATTCTTCACAGGATGTGATAAGCAATAATAATTACAAAAATGTACCCTGATTATATGGAAAAAGAAGTAAGTAGATTTGAAATTTAGGGAAAATTCTCTCTTAGACTCTCAGTTCAGTTCTATTACTTATATGTGTAGTCTGTATATTAACAATTTCATATTTTTATTCTTAAAAATATTTTTCTAATTTGTCCCTGAATCTTTATTCTCTATTAAAGGATCAACTATTTGGGCAAATAAAGTGCTGCAGTCTGATGACAACAGCTTTTAGTGAGAATTGCAATTAATCTTAAGTAGCAAACTGTTAATCTTTAAAGCCACCATATGAAAAATCTTGATGATAGAAATTAGGGACGGACTAGCCTAAGATTGTACTACAGGACTAAAAGTACAGTCAAAATTCTTAGATCAATACCTCGATCTAGTTCTCAATGCGAACACTAGTTAATAGCCCATCACCTTAAATCTCCTGGTAACATTTTTGGGATTTGATATTGGAGGACATTAGGGATGTTCTGAGATCAGCTTTGGTTTTGTTTAAGCCTTAGCTTTAAGGATGCGGGTGACATTCTATTACGCCAACCGTACTTAGGCTTATGATAGCTCTTTCTGTCATGCATACGTATGTAGTGTATAAAGCCCATGTTTGCAAAATGCATAAGGAACCATCCCGTCGCTATTTGGATGAGTGATGTGGCACCGATGAATCTGGTAGCGTATGGATATGGTCTGGTTGCGTACGGATATTTGTAAGTCTGTGTGGAAAGGAAGCATATGAAATACACGGCGAGCTGAAAATCCTGTCGAGAGGAAAGTTGGGAGAGCCTCGAACAGGTATTTTCAATCAAAGTATACAATTAGAGCAACGGACTATACCTGTACTACAAATGGTAATTTTCTGGTGTCCCGCCCACTTCTACCTGTATCTGTATGAGTACCGTAATTTAGTCATGAGTGAAAGTGTACATAGGGGAATAGGAAAGCATAATAAAATAAATTAAAACGCAAAATAAACCAAATCAAAACAAATCATAGTCTGATTTACCATAATAAGCTGTTCCTTCCTTTTTTGGTATCAAGGCTGTTCTCCGAAGACTATCGTGCGAAATATATCACCTTTAACATTTACGAGAGGCTATTCTTTTCAACATCTCACTCAGCACACTTCATAATTAAAACAGCTCATTAAGAACTACATCATTAGATTATAAAGCGCATCAGTTTTTTTTTTCACTGCTCACTATGCAGCTGGAAACCTTAATAGTTCAATTACGTCGAATTTCTTTTTCATCTTCTTCATCTGACTCATGTCCATACTCAATTTTTTAATATAGGCTGAAGTGTAATTTTTAATCCACCTTTTTTATATGGCTTTTAGAAAATTTCGAGGAATTATTTTTACCTTTTCTGTCTTTGTGATGCCTTTCAATTCATCTTTTTCCCATTCTTCAACACCTAAACTTGATTTCTCATCCTGTGGGCAAAACGACTTAGCGAGTGCAAAATATAGTAAGTTTGCATGTTTGTTTACATCGTGCATCATTCGTGATAAAATAACAATTTTAAACTTTAAAAATGAGTTTAGAAACGAAGAAACGAAAACTGCTCTCTGAATATGAAGAAAGTAAAATTAAGTTTCAACTTTCTTGAGCTTTCCGTTATGTTAAAATCATTTGTTCTAAAATTCCTATTTTTTGGGAAAGTGCAGAATTGCCCACTGCTTGGCGCGAATTGGACATACTCGGTATCCATGTACACGTCTACCTATTTCACTTAGAAAAACATCCAAAAATTGCACTAAAATGACATTGCGCACTCCCTTGACTTTATCCATGTACTCATCGACCTATTTTCACATTAAAAGTCAAAGAAAATTCACAAAAATCCAATTCTTCTTACTCTTGTAAAAAGCGCCAAGCAAGTAATTGGACAATTCTGCACTTTAGCCTTTTTTTGTATAAATGCTAGTGAAAATTTGGTACTTTTCCGTTTTGCCGGCGCAAACGATAAAGTCGCCAATAATGGTTTAACTGATGCCAGACGAAATATCTTCGCTGGTAACCTTTTACGCCTCAGTTTCAAAACAAGTTGAAGCCATTTCTATCAGATTGTTTCTTTCAATACTGGCATATAGAATTTTTACACGATATTTAAATTTTATCCCCTAAGACAATCCACGGTAATTAATTAGTCAATCAATAGAACGCAATTACACCGCTCATCGAAGGCGAAAATCAGTGTTAAATTCATCAATTCTAATGAGAATGCACTAGCGAAGTAAAGCACTGCGGTTTACATAATTTATGAGTAAGTATTCGTACGAATTGAAATAATTCTGATTTAACTGTATTCCAATTAAGATTTAACTTGAACTTAATGTAGATAATACTGAGCGAATTAGATTTAGTAGCGTAGTTACGTGAGATGAAAATCACTTGGGGTCACGTGATACGAACCGGCGAATCAGGATTTTGAACCATGAAAGCATAGTAAATCTTAAATTAATGTCTTTTTACAAAATTTATGTCTTTATTTTTTAAAAATGGCTTTTTACAAAATTTTAACCATATTAAAATGTTTATGCTTCAAAATAAAAAAAATTCTTTAGAATTAACATTTTATGTGTATACGTATGTTGTCGCCAACAAAGTCTGCTTGGCGAGATTTGCGCCGGCGAAACGGAAAAGTACCGAAAATTTTAATAGTGGTATATATATATATATATATATATTATATCACCTATATTAAAATGGGTTGATCTTTGGATTATGGTAACTTGGCAATTATTTGGCGACCAACTCTGCTACAGCAACCCTCGGCACAGCTTTAGTATTAGTCCTTTTTGGCGATAAATTTGTTTGGTGACATTTTGGAGCGATAAATGAAAAATTATGATAACCTTGGTAACCCTAAATACTGAGCTTCAAACATGCCGCCATTTCTGTCCACGTAACTTTAACGAATTTGACAGGTATCAGAGCTTTGATGGCAGGAGGGATAAATTGTGTGTTTTTCTTAAAGTTACTTTTGTGTTAAGAAAGCACAGCATTTAGAATATTTTTTAAAAAGCCAAATTTTTGATAGTTAAAACTGGTGCTTTTAATATTACATCACAGAAGTCTTGACATTTTTTATATGTCAACTCTGCATATATTATAAACCCACCCCCCCCCCAAGGAAAAAAAAAAAAAAAAAACACATTTTCAGTAGCATGAGGTAAACTCTTGGTGTTTCCTTTGCTAAGGAGATCAAAATTACCAAGGTCTAAAAATACTTATTTACCTCATATTAGAAACTATAGGGATGTGTAATTGCATGAATTCATAGGTTCAAATCAGGACCAAAAACCAGGTTTCATTATTGCTTTTTTAAAACATTTTCATAATTTGTCTGACTATAAAAAATATAATGTTGCTTAGATTATGGAAATATGTTGCTTATAATTTAGAGTTCTCAAATTTTGTAAATCTTACAAAACCTAACAGCCTGTATATGAATAACCTTCACTGAGTATTATTACTTTATTAATAGTATGTTTGACATAACAGTCGACTTTTATTTTAAATTTTATGCAAATTTTCTACATTACTTAAACATTTTTATCTAACAGAAATCTGAATTTTTGTAATAAAAACTCTATAATAAAGTAAGAGTACAATTTATATATAAAAATTTGACTACATGGCAAGCACTTAGATACTGATTTCAATGTCTTTAAATGTTATTATCATAAAGTTTAGATATATTCTTATTAGTTAAGATATACTTTTATTCTATTATAAAATTTAGATGTACAGAACGGAAGGCATACTTTGTGCTTATGACTCAGTCAACCACTTGTGGCAAGATAACTTATGATAACAATTAAGTTCAAATTTAAAATTTAAACTCAATTAAATTTGTAGCCAAAGGCTGCACAAATCAATTTAATGCAAAGTTGGTTAAAAACTTAACTGGCATGGAATTCAACTATCAGCAATTATAATGCAAGGCTGAAGACTACAAATCTTTTCTTATCTAGCAACCTATAATGTGGCCTCAAAGGCAAAAACAACAAAAAAAATTCATTGGATTCTGGTGAGAAAACGGATGGAGGAAATTGACAGTAAAGATCCCAAGCATAAAATAACTCTGGTTACAAAATAAAGGAACGTTACAATATACTTGTTCCCTGATTAATTATTCAGTACATGAAATAGTGTAATGCATTTTGTATTTAGTTTATTTAAATGCTTTCCAAAAACTGACAGGATTTTGCAAACATATTGACCATATTTTTCAACCTATAGATGCAACACTTCTTCTCTCAGAAGTAAGATTTAGAATTAAGAAATAAGAAAATAAGAGAGAATTATGAATAGAAAATAAATACATATGCTGGCTAGCAGAAGAAGGATGCCTTCATAAAGTACTTTTTAAGAGAAACTGGCTCAGATTCACATTACATCTACGGAAAAACTAAAAAACTCCCATATAGCCAGCCTGAACTACCACTGTTCAGTGGCTATCACCACACTCCACCACTAGTGGATTCCAATGACTGTTCGGATATTTCACACAAATCATCATTTACGATGATTGTTGTATTATTACCATTGGTACAAAATTTACTCATTATGATAATTTAATTTTAGCTTTTAAATTATAATCATAAATTACTTGTAATAATTGAGGGATTAAAAAATACACACTTCTTAATATTTTTACCATTTACAATATTTAATCATAAAAAGTATTTCTAAAAAACTGGTACAAAATTTGCCCATTATAATTGAATTTGATTTCCTTCACTTTCAAATATTTTTTTATTTTCTTTTAATAACAGAATCTAAGAAACTAAAGTAACATATACTAGTTTTGAAATGCATTTATTAACCTTTTGTAAATTTCATTATTCATAAACATAAAAATTAACCTTTTGTAAATTAAAATATTAGCTAAGTACTAATATAATAAAATATAAATATGAACTAACTACTTAAAAATATTAAGTTTAATACATTATATTTGTAATTAAAAATATTAACATTTTGTAAGTTTCATTACTCATAACATAATAATTGTCATAAATTCATTTACAGTAATGTTTCAAGAATTTATAATAGCAGTACTAGAAATATTGAAAATCAGAGAAAGACTGTGTATTCTGATTAAGAGCTTATTTTTTAGGATTGTTATTTAGTCTAGATCAGGTTTTGTTGACAATCCGCCATTTTTTTCCGATCTTCAAAACCGGGTCTACCTTGGCGACCAAAGTTTGTCGCCAAATACAAAAATCGCCAAAAGGACCAATACTAAAGCTGTTCCCAACCCTCTATTTTTTTTTCGCCGCCATTTTGTCTTCACTAAGTAAAGACATGTTTCTTTTCTTTTTATTTACTGAACACTTTGGCTAATCTTTAGAATATGGTAACAGGTAGTTTGGCGACATTTTGGTAAGGCGATAAAGGTTACTAGCGAGGACTTTAGTAATAATCTAAGAAGTACACAGTTCGAATCACAGATTATTTTGTCTCAGAGAAATGAGAGATCACGAGACATGTAATGTGACATTTTCCGGAAAATTCCGATCGTAATTTTAGCTAATAAGCACTTAGAGAAACAATTTCGCTGCTAAAATGCAGAATCGCCCGCTTATTTGTTTGCCGCTTTTTACAAGAGGTAAGAAACAATTGGGTTTTTGTCAGTTTTCTTTTACTTTGTAAGTGAAAATACATTGATGTGTAAAGATAGAGTCAAGGGTGTGCGCAGTGCCACTTTTGTGCAATTCTGGGATTTTTTTTAATATGTGAAATAGGTCGAATGTGTACATCGGATAACGGTGTATGTGCAATTCTTAAAAACGCGGCAAGCAATTGTAATTCTGCACTTTCTTCCAAATTCGCACCTAATCTTCGTCATGATTAAGCATTTTTGTTCCATGAAAGTTCTAGTATAAGCGTAATTCGGCTAGCGATTGTTGGGGAAAATGATGAGTAAAAAAAAAAACATGCCTTTACTTCGTGAAAACAAAATGGTGTCCAAAACAAATCTAGCAGGTTGCTGTAGCAGGGTTGGTCGCCAAAAAATTGCCAAGTTACCATAATGTAAAGATTCACCGAAATGAAAACTATAATTTAGTTATTAAAGCAGACCAATAATTTAAAAAAAGTATTTTATTACAGTCAAAAGTTGTTAATCCGGACTCGTCAGGACTTCGGCGATTCCGGATTCTAGATCATCAGTTTAAATCTGGTACGATCGCATGCAGAAATTATAAAATTAAAAATATGAAACCGTAATTTATGAAATAAAGAACAATTATGATCTAAAGGGTATCAAAATTTGCAAAAAAAAGAGCTTAATATTTATTTGTTTACTTTATTAAACATTTCTTTCAATGTAAGTTGTTTAAGTTGCTTCGTTTTATGTGCTAATACTTTCGGTTGATCTTTACATTATGGTAACTTGGCGTTTTTTTGGCAAAAATTTGGCGACCAACTCTCCTACAGCAACCCTCTATTTTTTTTTCCCGCCGCCATTTTGTCTTCACGAAGTAAAGACATGTTTCTTTTCTTTTTATCTACTGAACACTTCTTCCAACAATCTACTAGCCGAATTACACTTATGCTAGAAATTTTATCT